TCTAGCCCCCCCCAAGTCTTTGAGATGCCTGCTATCCCGGGTTGTCATTTGGCACCAGGCATTCTGGTTCTTCTGGCTTGTTTTTGAAGCCACTAGCAACAGTGCAGAAGCACTTTTAAGTTTGCCCTCGCTTCATTGCTTAATATTGCATGTGCCAAACCCTTGCCACTGTATTCTATTTTGTCTTTCTTACTTATTGTGATCATGCTGTTTATTTCCCTCCTGATTTTTTCAGAGGTAAACTGAATGTCAGCCATGTCTACCATGTAGATCACCTCAGTTCAAATCGGTTAGTCCTCTTCATCTCTCAGCTTTCCCCTGCTTCTAGTGTAAATGCTTCTCTACAAGCTCTTTAATTTCCAGTGCCACAGCCTGGCTGCATTACAGCTCAGGTGCAGCCCACCCCTTTTAGGCTGCTCCTCTCGTCCATGAAGTTTCACCAGTTTCTCACATGCCTCAACCATCTACAAGCCCCTCCATTTCCCCACGTGGCCACGGTGCAGCCTCGGGACAAAGGGACCTGCCCCCAATGCAGGAGCTCCTGGCACCCAGAGCATCCCACCTCCCTGCCACAGGCTGGGCAACCTCCCACAGTCTAAATGGGCTTAATTGCTTTGGGAAGCTTATATTAGCCTAGTTTCTCCCCTGAGGGCATAATTAGGATCATTCATTTCTTACCCTACCCTTATTAAGTTAATTAGCAATAGAGGTGAAATGCTAAACAGCATGAAAAAACCCACACAGCGAGGATGCAGCTGACCTGAGACTCTCTAGTGCCTTCTCCCCATGAGCCGCCCTGTTGCAGCCCTCGGCCTTCCAGAAACATTTCCAACAACTGGAAACGTTTCTTGTTGCAAGGCAGGCGAGGAGCAAACTGGTCCCATTTCTGCCCTTTAAATCAGGTTTTATGTTATGAATTCCCTGCTTATTCAGCCACACCTCAGTTGATTCAGATCAAGGAACCGACAAAGCTCACAAGGGTTTTGTCCTGCCAGGCAGAGGAGAGAAAAGTAAAGAGTAGCTGGTACTAGATCTGATCCAGTGCCCTGCAGTCTGGCTTCTGGGTAAATCAGAATTGTCTCTCCCACGTGACTGCTGCAATTGATGAAGAGCTGCCTACTGATAGTTCATGAATACTATTTATTGACTGGATCATCATGGCCCTGTCTATATGTACTATAGGTAGGTGTCATGCACTTACCACATACCCAAGCTATTTCAGTAGCAGGACCATTGGGTTGCTCTATACGGAGGCTGGGCTGGGCTGTTGTGGCCACAGGCTGATGGCCAACAGTTCGGAGTCTTGCTGATGCTTACTAGCGGCATCCCTTGGGGACTGATCCTGCAGCCAGTACTGTTTAGTGTCCTCAGCACCAACATGGGCTAGGGACAGAGAGCGCTCCCAGCAAGTTCACAGGTGCTTGGTGGGACAGGAGTGCCGGTCAGAAGAATGTGAACAGGTTGGACAGGAATCTCATTAAATTCAACCTCAGGTGCTGCCAAGTCCCACACCTGGGATGGAAAAGCCCCAGGCACCAGTACATGCTGGGGACCAGCCAGTTTGAAAGCAGCTTTGCAGAGAAAGCCCTGGGGGTCCTGGTGGACAACAAGTTGACCATGAGTGGGTAATGCACCCTTGCAGCAAAGGCAGCCAACAGCCTCCTAGGCTGCATTAGGAAAAGTGTCACCAGCAAGTCCAGGGAGGTAATTCTTCCCATCTGCTTGGCACTTGTGCTGAGTTTTGGACTCCTCAGTATAAAACACACCCTAATGTGCTGTAGGCCAGGGATCTAGGTCTTCTCAGCCTGGAGAAGACAAGGCTTTTGGGGGACATTTTTAGCTACCTCCGTGGAGCTTCTAGAGAAGATGGAGTCACACTTTTCTCGGAGGAGCACAGAAAGAGGGTCAGAGGTAAGAGTCACATGTTGCAACAAGGCAAATTCGGACCTGATAAAAGAAAAGTAGTTTTTCACAAAAAATTGGTGGGTGGTTAAGCACTGTACCAGGTTACACAGAGAGGCTGGTGAATCTCCATCCTTGGAGGTGTTCATAACAAGACAGGACAAGGACCTGAGAAACCTGATGTAGCTTCAAAGTTGGCACTGCTTTGAGCAAGAGGTTGGACTAGGGACCTCCCAAGGTCGTCTCCAACCTCGGTCACTCTTTGTTTCTGTGGCTCTGTGAAGATGCAGCCAGAGGGGAGAATGGAAAATGTAGATGTAATCTCAGCACACACAGTGAGAGACTATGAAGGAGCTGCTCACATGGATGCTGCACAGCTTACCACACAGAGGTGCTCCCCACATTGGGAGCACCAACATGGTTCAGCCATCAGTCGTTCAAGGGATGGGCAAGGCAGAGTCAGCAAAACCGTGATGCCAACACCCCAGGTGTAATGGGCCTGGACTGAAACAGCTCATCTAGCATATTAAGTGGCACTTCAGCGTCTGTAGCCCTTCTCCCAGCAAAGCTGGTCTTTGTTTTTAGAGGTAAAGAAGCAACATTTTAAGAAAGAAGGTTGTTTTGGGTCCCCTCATTCCTCCAACTGCAGACTACAGGGGAGAATAAACTGCAGGGACAGAGGAGAGCAGAGGAGCTGGGAAAGCCAGCACTGCGGTCCCACCATGGGAGCATGAGCCCCGTGGGATGGGTGAAATTGTGGAGGCTGAGGGAGTCCTTGGAGAAGACAGAGAGGGTGCAGAGACAGGTTCAGCTAATCCAGTGACCACGGCAACCAGTTAATAACTGACTTGGCGTTATTTGCCTTGCTCCAACTAAAAGCAGGGGTAAATCCCCACTCCGCTATTTATTATCAGATTCTCCTTCCGTGAGATTTCCAAGAGATAATGTTAAAATATCAATCTCCTTGAGCAAATATGCCAGGTTCACGAGGCACTCCTCTGCCCAGGTATTAAACAGTGAAGGTAAACCTGGTGGAGCAGGGTGCTGCTCCTTTCATCGCAGCCAGCAGCTGTCAGAGGTGGGACGAGACCCCATGCATCCACACCACTGAAGGAAACGGGGGCTTGCAAAACAAGGCATTGGCAGAATGAGTCAGTCCCACCACCCACAGCTGTGCCCAACAAGCCCTCCTGCACCTTGCTTTCTGCCCACTATGCACCTCTTGGAGACTGACCGCAGCCTCCAAAGACACCAACCAGACTCCCACACCCACAGCAGGAGATACTTTTCCTCCCTGTGGTATTTTTGGCACGTGAGGTGGTGGGGAAAGGGTTGTGCGTGTGCAGAAATGTGGCTGGGGATTGGAGGGAGGGAGAGGTCTCTTGAGGGCAGGCAAGGAGCTTGGTGGATGGAGGCAAGGGGCTCCAAGACCCTCTGACTTGGGCAACTGCAGGCAAATAACCCCTGGCTAATGTGACGCCAGTATCCTTAGCACTGGTGTCTGTCCTCAGGTGGCAAACACAGTTTCGGTGATGGGAAAGGCCTGGCTCATTACAGTCCTACCCACAAGCATGTGCATGCCAGAAACAACTCACCCTCACAGCAGAAAGAAATGTTGAGGCAAAGGGTTGTCTGAATCATTTCAGAGATGCGTTGGGCTCATTAAAAGCTATCATAAAAAACCAAGCTGAACCAACAAGGTGTCATTATTTTTTTCTGCTGACAAGCGCTGTCGGCAGAGCACACTGTCACAGGGGCAGCCCCCAGGCAGAGGAAGATGGGCCACCGGTGTAGACATGGCCAGTCTCTCAGGAGAGTGCTAGCCCAGGTGGTAGGGCTGCAAGCCCCTCTGTGCCACATACATGAGGGTCAGTCCCAGCCCTCTTTTCTTGAGCAGCAGGGACACAGCCCAGGATGCCAGGATAGGACTGGGGCAAACACCTGCAGAACAGCTGGATGCTGGGTCTTTAGCTCAGCCCTCACCACAGCTCCCTCCAGGAACAGGGTGTGAAATATAAGCTGTAGGTGGAGAGACGCCCAGAGAAAAATAGGGTGGGTTTTTTTTTCCCTTTGGAAATCTTGGAAATGCCACTCCTGGGAACACACTTGCTACCACACCAATGTCTATAGTGCAACAGGTTCTGTTTACATGAGAAAAAAATGCTGTTAAGTCTCACAAAACCACAGCCCAGTACATTTCATCACAGTGTCGGATTACCACTGAACGGAAGGTAGCTTTCCCTATATATTAAACTTCCCCAAACCTCAGTCCTGTGCCAGAAGCTGAGCTGCAGACAAGTAGGTAAGATACACTGCTCAGGGTGGGAGCTCTTCTTCCCTTCAGCAATACCATCTCCTCGGTGGCCCGGGGGCTGCAGCTTTTTGCTGTGTGAGATTTCTGCTTGAATAAGGATACCGAGATTTGTCCTGTAGTTCTGGATTTAGGTCACCTAAATTTAGATGGCTCTCATCCCTACGTGAACCCCTCTCCCTAGGCTCCCCTCACAGCCAGTGAGGGGAAATGGGTGCTCCCAGAGTACAACTCACCCTAAAGTAGATAGCCACAATGATTTAGACAGCTTGCATCTTGAAAGTTCCAATTTCTGCGTATAACAAAAGTCTCAGGAGATTCAGGCAAAGCTGTCCAGATGTGGCGAAGGTGGGTTGTATATGGAATATGGGCTGGGAATAAGGGCGTTCATGCTGGGAGCACAGCAGCACAGGGAAGTGAATATCACTAATTTTATTTTTTCTGAATTAAATATTGGGGTTTGAGATTTGGAGGAAGTTACCAAGATGTCATAGAAGACATGGGTTTGAAACACCATCAGTAGTGAGAGGTCACAAGTCCTTTGTGAAAAGCTGCAGCCTCGTTTGTGCTGGAGCAGGAGAGCTGCCGTTGGGGTCTCTTACAAAAAGAGACAAGACTCCATTTGTGTATCACTTTGCCTGCCCAACCAAGAGAAATACCCCATCAGCTCAGAAAGAGTTTCTTTGTGTTCATTCGGCAAGCAGTGAGATATATTCATGTCTTCATGCGTGCCGAAGCTGACTGATTGATTTTTCAGGCTGTTCTGCGTGCTCAGGAAAACCACCCAATGTACCCGATGCTCCTGCTGCTGGGCCTTGCTGCCCTCCTGGGTAAGTCTGGCATCCCTCGCTGCTCGCCCCAAGCAGCTGGGGACACACGCCCTGCAGCTGGGAAGCAGCAGACATTGATGCACCTCCTCACTCCCCTCCCCAAAGTCTCCATTGACACTAGACTCTATCAGAGGAGAGAGTGCTTGGCTCCCCTTGCAAGTCTTGCAGAAGGAGGGGTGGGCTCTGCGGGACGGGTGGGCTCAGGGCACAGAGCGCAGGGCACAGGACACAGGGCAGGACCTTGCCTCCCCTCCATCCATCACAAGGAGGGACAGAGGCAGCCCCATGCAGCTCCCACACCCTGCAGCCCAGGTGCAGCCTCCCCTTGCGTTTTACTTGCAGTCACAAAAGGTTTTTACTGCTTGCGCCTTTCCATGTTGCCCCTGCAGGTGCCTCCCAGGGCCGCACGGATTGCTACGGCAGTGTAACCAGAATTAGAACTCCTGGGGCTTCGTGCAAAACTGCAAAGCCAGAGGGTTTATCCTACTGCGGTGAGTATCTCTCTTCTGCCAGACGGCTCCATTTCCGCTTGGCACAATAATCCCAAATCCTTCACATTTCCAAAGTGCTGAACACACAGTAGCTGCTGAGCCTGCATAATATCCCTGTAGGCGATCATCTACCTCCTCCCAGCGGAGAGGCAAATACAATTTTGATGTAATTCTGTCTGTATTAGAAGGAGAGAGGTGAGAGATGATTCTGAGCTTTAAAAGTTATTAAGCAAATATCTTCACTTTTGGTTTTAATTACAGGAGTTAGGGCTTCAGAAAAGATCGCTGAACGGGACCTAGGAGCTATGAATCGATATAAAACACTCATTAAGAGAGTTGGCGAAAAACTGTGCGTCGAACCAGCCCTGATCGCTGGCATCATCTCCCGGGAATCTCATGCTGGCAAAGTACTGAAGGATGGCTGGGGTGACAATGGAAATGGATTTGGTTTAATGCAGGTATTTGCTCATACTCCACTAAAAGCTGATAAACAAATAGCATATAAATAAAAGTAAGCCTCCTAAACATATCATCTATTACAGCAGGGAAATGACTTCTATTTGTTGTTTCGATATTTTTAGGTTGACAAAAACTCACATAGACCTGTGGGAAAATGGAACAGCGAAGCTCATCTTACCCAGGGCACAAACATACTTATCATGATGATAAAGACAATACAGAGGAAGTTCCCACGCTGGACAAAGGATCAACAGCTGAAAGGTAAGGTACATGCTACAGGTTTTGTCCAGGAGAGAAGAAAAGCTTTAGGGCGAGAACATACTGAATTGGTTCCCATGCTCCTCAATAAGCACATTTCTAACAGGCTGTCGCTTAGCTTTTTGCCCCTTTTTTTATTTCACCGTGAAAAGTCAAGCTTTGTCAATTCTGTTTAGTTTCTGCCTTTCCTTAGTATGGCAGTCTCGCCGAGTTTCCAGCACCGTGTGGCAAATACTTGTACACCTGAAATCTAGGCTATGTAAGAGCCGAGCTTTCCTTATCTGACCATGAGAAGTCTCCTACAGCCATTCAGGTTAACAAATAGCTCCATGGTTTACCTGAATGGGGCCAGCAGTTCACGCTGTATCTCTGTTGACAAAGGAGACGAGGTGTTTGCTCTCAGGGAATTGCAAAACTGTGCCGCCCAACATGGAAAAGCTGCCTGCTTCAAAGAAGGCTGCACCCCGCAGGCCCCTTGGACTACTGGGGTGCCAAGGTGGGCTCGTTTCACAGCCACTGCAGACACCTCTGCCTTTCAACACAGCATATGGAGTAGCATATACGCAGCTGCAAGACAAAGATAATGCAATGTATGAGTGTGTTTTAACTCTCTTTTTAAAGCAGTAGTTTTCAAGGATGAGCGAGAAGTTACAAGGATGTTGGATATGACATGATATGACATGACATGACATGATATGACATGATATGATATTAATCATATTAAGAAGCCCAGTGTAAATGAAGGGCGTGTGCTGGGCCGGGTAAATGGTGCAAGTTCATCAAGCTGCAAATATCTGTGAATGCAAAATCTCAGGTATCTTTCTGATATTTTAGTGGATTCAGGAATAACTGTAAGCTGTTTGCAGAGCTCCACTTAAGTCAGAAAAGCTCTGATAACACCGCCCACTCCCCTTCCAAAGTCCTCATAAGTGAAAGCTTTCAAAACCAGTAAAAGCAGAACATATCAGGCTGGAATTTTCCCTATTTTTTTTTAAGTCTGTATGACTTCTTTCGGTGTTTCATTTCAGGTGGGATTTCTGCCTACAACGCTGGTACTGGGAACGTCCGAAGCTATGACAGAATGGACGTTGGCACCACCCATGATGACTACTCCAATGATGTGGTTGCACGAGCCCAGTATTACAAGAAACACGGATACTAGACTCAGGAATCTCTACTGAGTAACTTCCTTACCATCACCTGCATGTCACCCCTGAGGGAGCCAAGACACAGAGCAGCTGTACCCTGCAAACCCATACAGATACGAAGGTACAGGAATGATTTACAGGAATAAGAATCTGCAGCCTAAACGCCTCCATTTTAAAAATAGTATTCAGTAAGACACCGCTCATGTAGTTTCTTTACAAGCGCTATGGTTTGGATTTTACAAAGGGAATACTACCAAATCTTAATATTTTTTTCTGCTAGCTACATATATCTCTAGTTATGAGGACTGTCTTGTTTTGCTATTGATAATTTGCTGCCTTCCAGATCTTAAAATACATTTCTGCCAAAATCTGTCATTCTCTTAAGAAATCAAAAGGCAAAATACTTCTTTGGGTATTAGCTTAATGATTTATTTTTTCAAAGATGCTTGATATTTACATTATGCTGGAGAGTAGTAATTCTTTTCTGAACGCTAATTTTTCATATAAATGCATAGAATAGAGATGGATGTTTTCCATCAGAAATAAGCAAACAGATATCGAATAAAAGTGTTATTAGCAAACAAAGCAGGACTCCAGTGTACTCATATTGTCATGTGTGTTAGCAAAGTTTGGATAAGTATGATGTTAATTTTAGGTAGATAGAGAAACTGAGAAGGGAATAGGATGAAATACGTATTTGTGCATCATAAAATTCTTTTCCCCCTCTACTGCTTGTAGATGAATGACACTCGGGAAAAGAGCCATCTGAGTTCAGCATATTTTGGTGCTCCTGTTCCTTCTAGACATGTTTTGAGGGTGGGAGAGTGGAAAGGCAACAAAAGGAGAGGGGTAGATGCCTGCAGGACTGAGTGACACATTCTCCAGGGCCAAAGGAAGAGTTAGGTTTCGTCTGGCAGTGCAAGCCGTGCCTTTCCCACCAGCATCCACTTGCATGCTGAGGAAACTTCCTTTATTCTTCCACCGTAAGCACAACTTCTGGGACTGGGAATAACCGTAAGTCAAAATAATTAGAAAAAACACTGGCTGCAAGCATCTTAAAAGGATAGGAAAATGCAACCCAAAGCCATTAACAGTGCACAGAGTTATGATACACAACCTCCCAGGAGCAATTAGAGACCATGCTGCAAACATCCAGCATGGATTTAAACAGGGTAAATAGTGCCCAACCAACCCGTTTGCCTCCTGCGATGAGATGACAGGCTTTATGGAAAAGGGGAGATGAGTGGATATGGTATACCTTGACCTCTCAAGGTCTTTGCCCCAGCCTGCCTTATAGTCAGACTGGTGAGACCCAGACTGGATAGGCAGGTAGAAAAATGGCTAGAAAGCTGCCAGGCTCGTAGCGTGGTGGTCAGTGTCACAGGGTCCAGCTGGTGGCCAGGTGCTACTGGCATCTGCCGGGGACAGACCCTGCAGCTTGTACTGCTTTGTGCCTTCAGCAGCAATTCAGTCCAGGGACAGAGAGCGCTCCTAGCAAGTTCACAGCTGATACCAAATATGGGGTCCTGGAGAGGCTGGAGAAATGGGCTGACTGCAACCCTATGACGACCAATTCAGACAAAGGCAAAGCCCTGTGCCTGGGACAGAACAACCCCATGTGCTGGTATGGGCTGGGGCCAACTGTCTAGAAAGCAAGCTGTGCAAAAAGGGTTCTGGTGGACACCATGGGCCTTCACGGAGATGTAGCTAAGAGCACCCTGAGCTGCATTAGCAAAATCCTATCCAGCAGGGAGGGGAGTGATCATCTCCCTCTCTTTCATGCTTGTGAGACCACACCTGGAGCACTGTATCCAGTTTGGGGCTCCCTGACAGAAGAGGGACACTGACACACTGAGGTGAGTCCAGCAGAGGCCACCAAGCTGGTCAGGGGATGGAGCACAGGGACACACAAAGAGACGCTGAGGGAGCAGGGTCCGCTCAGCCTGGAAAAGGGCCAGCTTTGGGATGACCGTGCTGTCTGGGTCCTGACTACACTGATGGGCTCTGCAGCCTCGTCCTCCTCTCTCCCAGGGCTCTGGCTGCCTGCATTGAAGGTCAGCTTTGATATTGCACTATGAGGAGCCTCATCTGTTCTCCGCTCCCATGCATCTTCCGTCTGCTGGCTCATGAGCTGCATTTAAGCTCGCGGCCTTGCGCTGGGTCCTCATCTGAGCTGCACTGGAAGTCAGCCTGCGCCTGGCTTTGTAACCTACTGCTCCTGATTTCGCCTCGCTGACTTTCCTTCCTGGTTTGTTCTTGAACCTGTCATAGAACCACAGAATCATAGAACTGTTTAGGTTGGAAAAGACCTTTAAGATCATCCAGTCCAACCATTAACCTAACATTAACAAGTCCACCATTAAACCAAGTAAGGGTAAAGTAGCAATTTCATGTTTCCTGGCTTGGTGGCTGGGTTATTTAATGAAAGTAAAAACTAGAAATCATTAAGATTGGAAAGGACTTCTACGATCATCAGTCCAATTATCAACCCAACACCACCATGCCCAC